GGCCTCCGCAGGACCAAGGCCAGAGCTGGGCTGGGGCAGGCTCCAACTCTGGGGGCATCTCTGATCCCCAAACACCAAATCCTAAATGTTTCCATGCTATGTGGGGAGTATTGGTCCAATGTCAGATACTCAAAGAGAGATTACGAGGGAAGAGGATGTGGAGTGTATCCCCTGGGTCCCCAGTGGTGAAATCCGGGGTCTAGAGACAAGGAGGGATCCCCCCTAACCTTACCCTCCCCATCCTGGCCTCACCTCTGTGCCTCCTCCTCTAGCTGGCATCCAGGCAGAGATATTCAGGCCCTCTTAGCTCTGCTAAGCAAGGCCAGAAACATGTGTGAGTCAGCTGAGGGAAGAGGATGTGGAGTGTATCCCCGGGTCCCCAGTGGTGAAATCCGGGGTCTAGAGAAAAGGAGGGATCCCCCTAACCTTACCCTCCCCATCCTGGCCTCACCTCTGTGCCTCCTCCTCTAGCTGGCATCCAGGCAGAGATATTCAGGCCCTCTTAGCTCTGCTAAGCAAGGCCAGAAACATGTGTGAGTCAGCAGTGACCACAGTCACAGAGCCACAGAGCTCTGGTTCCTCCATAGATGCCAGCCAGCCCTGGGGCCTCCTCTTCCCAGGAGCCTCCCCAGATTAGCTCTGCCCAGCTCCTGTGTCTACAGCAAACCCCACTCCCAATTTTTTCTTCTGTCTGATACCCTCCCAAGTGCCACAAGCACCAAAATGAGGGTGTCCTGTGTCTCCCCGACATCTGCAGGAATTAATGCACGCCAGCAGAATGGATGCGGGCAGCAGTGGCCATGCCTGCTGGAGACGGCAATGTGGTTTACGCACTGGGATGAGCCCAGGATGGGGTGGGGAGTGGAGTTCCCCAAGATCCCCCGAAAAGCCTGGATCCAGGGCCAGGGCCCCCCCGACAAGGTTTGAGGCAGACTTTCCCCAATCCCACTGACTCGGGTTCCCCTTTTGGCACCATCTCCCCCACTGAGTGGGGACCCAGCCCACACCTGCTCAGCTCCCTATCCTCAAGGCCAAGCACACCAGGTGAGTGAGTGAATGAATGAATGAATGGGCCCAAGCCCTGGTATAAGGCCTGAGAGGGGCCCCACCCAACCTCCCAGCCGGAGCACATCCTCAAAACTCTGGGCCAAGAAGGGGAAGGCAGACAGGCAGAGGGACTGGGTGAGAGTCACACAACAGACCGACAGTCCAGCGAGAAGGACAGTGATCACCATTGCCCGGGACGGAGCACTTGGCTCTGAACTAAGTCTCTGGCCCCGTGAGTTCCCCCTGGATCGGGAGAGAAGAAAGGGAGGAGCAGAGCCCAGCCATGGCATCATCGGGGTCTGTGCGAGGTTCTGTTTTCTGACCGGCTAAGCCAGGCTCTATCCTGCGGCCTTGGTTCCGGAACAGCAGCGAGGGGCTGGCACCCATCGGGCCAAGTACAACCAAGAAAGTGAAAATTAGTTTCCTGGCGAGCTCAGCAGGCCCAGGAGGTGGGGCAGTGGAGTGTGGACAAGGGGAAGTTGTTACCACCAGCCACGGACCCTTCCAGATGCAGGCACAGTGGCCCCGACGACCAGGACCCGGTCTCTGGGGGGCAGAGGTCAGGCACCCCAGGCCAAGGTTGGGGGATGCTGCCTCAGCTCCCACCCAGCCAGGGCCCTGGCCCAGAGGGCGGCGCTGTATGCTCAGAAGCGGGACGCTGACCCCCAGGGAGACAAGGGCACTGTCGCCGGCCAGAGGCTGGTCCTGGGGACAGGCCAGACCCTGCGCCCAGCCTCCCCCGCTCCCTCCGCTGGTTCGGGCGGAGTCGGGGCTCCCCTTACCCTGTCTCGTGAATGGCGTTGGTGAGATTGGCCCAGGCCACGGCGTCGGGCTGGCGT